CCAGAGCAGAAAGCCACATGTTGCTCCTGCAGAGCAGCTGGTAGATTTGAACTGCTGACCTTGTGATTAGCAGCTCAACTCTTAACACAGTGCGCTACCAGAGTGAGGAATAAGTACACTTTTTGAAAAACGAAAACCAATATTGAGCCCCTCTCAAAATTGCCAGATGGCTAGATAATCAAGCTGAGAAAATGCCTCATGGTCTTCCAGGGTCCACATCATGACAATGATCAGCGGTGAGCTCACTGCTGTCACTGCCACCAGCATGAGACATTGCAGCCTGTGGTTGGGATGAAGGTATGCACATGGGTTGCTATCAGCTGCCCTTTGCTCCAGGAAGAGATACCATTTCTATCTCTCAAGGCTGTTTGCTATATGTTGTTGTTGTTGTTGTTGTTAAGTGCCATCCATTCAGTTCCTACCTGTAGCGACCCTGTATAATGTTTCCAAAGAGCGACTGATGAGTTGGAACCGCCGACCTTGAGGCTCAAACCAATGTGCAGTCCAGTGCTTTACTCCACAACACCACCCCATGACTATGTTTACTATATAGAATCCTCACACAAAAAAACTGTCTAGAACAAAGGCTATAGGGACATCTATTCTCAAAATGTCCAGAAAAGCAAAGAACTTACTACACAGGATCCAATTGTAAACAGGAACTTGAACAATTAGATAGGAAGCTCAGGGAGAAAGAACAAGTTGGAAAAGGAGGGTGGAAATTGTTGGACTGTTGTATATTTTGCCTTGCATATTTTCAACAGCAGCAAATATATACAGAAAACCAAGACCCCACAAAGAATTAACAAGCATGCATTAATTTTATAGTCACAAAGCTTTGTTTGATTTTTAAACAGCAAATGGAGATTTCATTATAGACTATTCTTTCTAGGTGCAGTGTTGGAATCAGATGTTTTCTCACCAACTAGAAGCTTTTCCAAAAAAAAAAAAAAAAATCATGACACTGAGGAAAAGAACCCCTCATCCACGTAAAGCTCTCAGAGGATCTGAAAGAATGAGCAAACATAACCAAAAGAAAACAGAGCTGGTAATATAAGTACATAGGCTTTAAGACAGACAAAAAGGACAAGATCATTCTTTTACTAAAAGGCCCATCCTTAATGAATAGATACCATTCATAAACTTCTCTATAACTATAACCCAACATCAAATTAAAAGTAAGCCCACAGGGAGGAAGTAAGATAACTATTGTTGCAGAGAGGAGATTGTAATCATTGAGATAAAACAGAACGTATGATTTATTGAACATAAAGCTGATGATCTTGTCTGTTAACCTTCACTCAATTTACAATAAAAAGTTAAAATTAAATAAATAAATACTATATAGTCCTCAGTATGGATAGCACCTCAGTGTAAAGAAAACAAAAATCCTCACAAGATAATGGAAAAAAGATTGACCTTGTAAACTATTTTATTTTACTTGATCTACAATCAATGCTCATGGAAGTAGCAGTTAAGAAATCAAATGATGTATTTTATTATGCAAATCTGTTGCAAAAAAAAAAATCTCTTTAAATTATTAAAGAGCAAATATGTCACTAAGATGTGCCTGATCCAAACCATGGTATTTTCAATCATTTCAAATGCAAACAAAAGCTGGAAAATGAAGAACGAAGATTGGAGAAGAATCAATGCATTTGAATTATGGTGATGGCAAAGAATATTGGAAGTATCATGGACTGCCAGATTTGAACAAATCTCTTTTGGAAGAAGTATATCTAGATTGCTCCTTAGAAGCAAGCCCCTTTGGCATTTCTAGTACTTTGTTCATGGTGTCAGGAAGGACCAGTCCCTGGAGAAGGACATCTTGTTTGCTGAAGTGGAGGGTCAATGAGAAAGAGGAAGACGTTCAACAAGATCAATTGATGCAGCAATAATTAGCTCACACATAACAACAATCATGAGGCTGGTGCAGAATGGGGCAGTCTTTCCTTCTGCTGTATGTGGGTCATTGTGAGTCAGGACTGGCTCCTCAGCGCCTAACAACAGCTACTTCCCTCTGAAGACCAAAGATCTGGGTTTATTAACGTCATTCTCCACTTGACCTTGGCATTCTCAAGATTTTGTTGTAAGAAAAGAATGGGCACCATGCCACTCTTTTAAAATCTCAAAGAGAGATTTGTAAAAGGCATTTTCAATTGCGTCTTCTGAAATAATGTCAAATTGTTTAAAAATAAAATGCTTTGTTATATATATTTTATCAAAATTAAACAAACAAAATAAATAAAAGTAAACACTGTTAAAGTACAGAAAGAAAACTACTGATATGTTCATTATAAGGCTATAGATCACACAGTATGGCGAATATAATTAATGTCCTTAAATGGTAAACTTAAAAATGGTTAAAATGGCAAATATTTGAGTATATAAAACTTACCAAAAAAGCAAGAAACAAAAAAGACATTATAGACAATGCAAATAAAATAAATAAAAGCATTAGGTATTTGTCTGTTATAATTTCCACATAAATTTATTTTAATTCTATTTTACAGATGTAGCTGTTATTTTACTTTGCTAGTGTGGCGCTGTGGGCTAATGCATCAGACTGCAAAGTCGTTTGAACTGCAAGGTCGGTGGTTCAAGCTCACCAGCTGCTCCTTGGAAACCCTACACAGAGTTGCTATGGGTCGGAATTGACTCAATGGCACTTCACAACAAAGACAATGCTGCTAAACCAAACAGAACTCTGTTTTCTCATGGTTCAGAAGGGTATATGTGTGAGTTCAGTGCACCAGCTCTGTTGTTGTTGTGAAGTGCCATCGCGCACATTCTGACTCATAGCGACCCTATATAGGGTATCCAAGGAGCAGCTGGAGAGTTTGAACCACTGACCTTGGGTCTCAACCTGACATTGCGGTCCAGCACCTTCTCCCACAGTGCACACTAAATGTAGGGGAAGGCGTCTTCTCTCTGTGGTCTCGGAGAGAGCTCCTTCTGGTTCTGTAGAACTGACATTCTTTGATTCCTAGGCCATCTACACATGACATTTTACCTTCATCTACATTTGTGTTTGCTTCTTTGTGCCTAATACTATCTCCAAAGTGAGTCACTTCAAGACACACCCTATGCTGATATGGCCTCATTAAAATACTTTTTTTAAAACCCTATTCCCAAATGGACTTACAACCACAGGTATGGGGTGAGAAATTACAGCGCACATATTTAGAGGACATGATTTAAGCCATAACAGCTAAATCTTGAAAGGAAGGAGACAAAAACCATATTGATGTCAATTCACCTTTGAAAACATCAAAGGGCTTTCAAGAGGAGAAGGTAAGTCAGAGCTGCGTGTTCTGATACCCAGATGTTCCTGGGAGAGCTGGGCTGACACAGTGTGACTGGAGGCCCCCAATGGGCAAGCCACCACAACTCAACGCCAGGCTTTAATGGAGGATAAAGTGAATGCCACCCAGACAGCTGTAACCTGGGAGACAAAGGTGGTCCCAAAGCAATGTGGACCATGGGTATCAAGGCTGCAGCAGACAGCCCTACAGGCCCTCAAACCAAGACAACCACATTACTTGCCAGCAACTCACAAAATCATGCCAGCCATCCTCAGTACTCTCTCCTCACCAGGAGAGGGAATGCAGGTAGGACTGGCTGACTCCTTTGGACTGAGTTGGTTTCTGAAGAGCTTGGACACCAAAAGGGAAGTACTGGACCCTCCTAGAAATGTCAAGTGGGATTCACTGAAGAAGCAAAGTGAAGCTGCCCTTCATATTTTAGAGAAGTAGAATGCACAAAGTACCTATGACAATCATCAGGAAGGCAGACAAAAAATGACACCCAGAATGTGGGGGGGCAGTGTGGTTTACAGTACAGACACCATGGTGAAATCTCATACAGACATCAAAATCACATTTCTAAGATCTTTATTGACACGAGACGAAAGAACTGGAAAAAAAAAAAACAAAGAGTGGCATGGTTATAGCCAACTTCATGGACATCCAACTACAGTTATCTTAAGTAGCAAGGATACAAGTCATTTTCAACTTATTCTTTATGAGATTTGGAACTTCCAAAGTCTGTAGGTATTATCTTTGAAATAGCAAAGTGTTCTATTTTAAAACTCTATCTCAATTAAAGTTAAGGCAACATTTATCTATCCATTCCTATTTTCTTTCACCTTGTGTTGGGTTTTCACTCTGATCCAAGAACCATGCTATTCACTAGAGATACATGGTGAATGGTATGTGCATTTGGGTTTGGGATGTGGACATCTCATAATCTGGAAGGCCTTATGGATTGGGGAGAGATCAAAAGCAAATATATATATTACACGTGCAGTCAACTCAAAGAAAAATAGAATGATGATCCCGAGAAATGGGGGTCAGAAATTTTTCATGGAAGAGAAAATGGTCTTTGACTTGATTCTTGAAGGTCACATTTTAATACTCTGGGCCACAATGCTCACCAAGGCCTCTGCTTCTCGCCTGAAGTGTTATGACCTACTTGAGTTCTCACAGTTCATCTGGTTGCTGTTTTGTCTTAAAACTAGATTATAAGAGTGCTTGTGATACAACATTTATGGTTGACCATCATGAAGGACATATAAGGGAGTATGAGGTAGACCAAAGATTCTCAATCCTGACTGTCCATTAGAATCACCTAAGCATGTCATTAAACTATCAGTGTCTGACACAACCCAGAGATTCTGATTTATTTGTTCGGTATAGGGACATCAGAGGATTTTTTAAACTTTCCAACTTATCCTAATATTAACAATATTTTAGCAAACAAGCCACCTAAAAAAAGGAAAAAATGTAAAATAATTCACTAGTTAGTAAGTAATCAAATAGAGGTCCCGTTGCTTAATAGATACACAGGGTTACAGGTGAATAGCAGTCTGTTAGTATGCAAGTACCAATAGCCTTCTAAGTGTGTCTGGGAATTTGTTTGTTTACAGATTTTACCAAAACAACTGCTACCTTATACTCAATTGGTGAAAAAGAACTTTGCTTGGAAATAAGATTAAATTTTCATGCTTTCACTGGGAAAAAAAACCTCTTTCTACCAATAACTTTTGTTAGGGCCCTTTTCAAGTCCTTGTTCCTGAGGCTGTAGATAAAAGGGTTCAGCATGGGGGTCACCACAGTGTACATCACAGTAGCTGCGGTGTCTTTCTCAGCTGAGTGGGAGGATGAAGGGTTGAAATATACAGCAGTAATGGTGCCATAGAAGAGGGAAACCATAGCCAGGTGGGAACCACAGGTGGAGAAGGCTTTCCATTTCCCCTTTGTTGATGGGATTCTTTGAACAGCACAGGTGATGTAAACATAGGAAACCAAGATGCAAACAAATGGAATTATCATTATTAGGGCCCCCTCAGTAAGAATCATCATCTCATTGAGGTATGTGTCAGAGCAGGAGAGTTTCAGGAGAGGAGGTACATCACAGAAGTAATGGGGGATCCTGTTGTCTGCACAGAATGAGAGTCGAGCCATCAGTAAGGTATGCAATAGGACATTCAGGTTGGCAATGACCCAAGGTCCAGCAACCAGCAGACCACAGAACCGCAGGGTCATCTTTGTTGTGTAGTGTAAGGGGTGACACACAGCAACAAACCGATCATACGCCATCACACCCAGAAGGAAATTGTCCATGTCAGCAAACATGAAAAGAAAATACATCTGGGTGAGGCACCCAGAGAAGGAGATGGACTGACTCTCAAGTATGTGATTGGTCAGCATCTTGGGGACAGTGGTGGAGGAAAAGCAGGCATCTACAAAGGACAGATTGCTCAGGAAGAAGTACATGGGGGTGTGCAGACGGGAGTCAGTGCTGATGGCCAGGATGATGAGCAGGTTTCCCAGGACTGTGGCCAGGTACATGTTCAGGAAGAGCACAAAGAGGAGCTGCTGCTGCTGCTGGGGCTGCCTGAAGAGCCCCAGGAGGAGGAACTCAGAGACACTTGACTGGTTTGCCTTACTCATAGACATGGATACCTGAGTCCTGATGCAGATAAGACAGGATACATTTTTAAGCCTGGAAAAGGATGATTGAGATGGGATGATTAAAACATCACCGTGGGAATTACAAAAACACATCACCATGGGAGATCATAGGTAAGTCATAAGGATTTTGCTTCCTGGGGATTTCAGCCAGTTACTCGATCTCTCCAAGCCTCTATATCATCATTAGTAAAATCAATACAAATACGTATACATAATATCGCCTCAATAAAGATACTCAAATGATTTTCACAGAGAATTTATCTGTGGATCCTTTTATACTGTTTAAACTTTCTACCATGACCATGAATTTTTAAGTAAATGTATATAATACACCATAAAAAGAGTATTAATATAGACTATAAGCTTTGCATTGAGTAGTGTTGTCTGCTACTCAATATGGATAATACAGAAACTATAGAAACTGACATGCCATGAGTATTTAATATAGGCAAATGCTGTCATCATCAATGATGTTGCCTTAGAGGAAACTTATCTGTTCCATCATCTTTCATGTGGACGTGGTGAATATTCCTAACACCTATGCTCATTATATTAGAGAGAATTATATCAGCCATTCACCAACTGTTCCTTCCAAAGTGTCCTTATCATATTGCTGCTGCTCTTGGTCATTTCTGGTCTTCTGCTTACAGAAAATTTTGTTGTTGTTTTATGTGCCATCAAATCGGTTCCTAATCATAACACCCCTATATAGGGTTTACAAGAAGGGACTGGTGGATTTGAACCTCAAGCATTGCAGTTCAAACCAACCTTATTGTCCAATGCTTTAGCCTACAGTGCCTCACAAGAGAAGTTTACAGAGGTCTTAATCAAGACTTCTGGGCCTTATCCATTGAGTTCCCTAAATCCAACTGGTAAAATTAAAATGGGAGTAACTCAAAGGTGTAGGCAGAAACTTAGAAAAAATTCCCAAAAGCAAAGATGAGAAGCAGGAAGAGATAGAAAAATCAGAATGAAAGACTATGGGGAACCCATATTAACAATGGGGGAAAGGCTGACACATTGTGGGGAATGCAACTCAAGTCACAGAACACTTGAGAACAAACTATTGAAGGGGAAACTAAACTGCTGCGTACACTTTCACCTAAAGAATAATTGCTGTTGTTGTTAAGTGCCCTCAAGTTGGTTCGGACCCAGAGCAACCTAGTATAAGGATCTTCAAGGAACGACGGGTGAGCTTGAATAGCTAACCTTGCAGTTCAAACAGACTTTGCAGTCTGGTGCATTAACCCAAAGAAACTCAGCCAATTAGTAATGCCCAGAGTTCAAGGACTCATGAATAGGCAGGACATGTTGCAGTCATTTGGGGGGATTTTAAAACCATAGATTCACTTTGAAGACTTAATGAGGAAGCCCTCTATGAGGCTTCCACCCTAACAAGCAGTTCCCAGTGAAGTCTCCACAGGTCTGACACTTACCTGGACAGAACAGCAACTCTCACTGTCACCTCATAAGGCTCACTTCCCTTATTAGACCTGGGAAGAGGTTATTACTCAGAAGAAAAAGGACTCATCACTGGGGTTTGCAGGCTAAGTATGCATGAATGAGGAGCCAGAGCCCAAGTACTCAACCCTAGATGCAGGAAGGATGTTTGGGAAATCACAGAGCAGGCATTTAGGGGAGTCTCCATGGTCACTGGCCCCAGATTCCCTGAGAGCCTCATTAGAGACAAGAAGAGAATAATGGTCCCATCTAGCTTTTGGCCCCTCTGGACCAAACAATGAGAATAAAGATTACCTAAGGTTTGGATGTAACATTTGGGTCAAAACTGGAAGATATTAGACATGGAGCCACCTCAGTGGAGGAAACAAATCCCAAACAAAATTCCCTAGGACTTAGAGCCTCATCATCTTGCTCTGCTGGTTCTTGCCCATGGATATGGAAATTCAGTAATTAAACCCTTTTTCTCCTCACTTCCTATATTCAGAACTAGGGCATGTCTGTAATTTCTGGGTAACCCATGCATTCTGATGTGTGATCCCATTTAGAGGTGACTGATGATACCTGACTTCTCTATTTTTACACATAGTTTAGGTGTAAATATAGGGGACACATTACAAAACAGGACTTGGCCCATAAAACCATTTGGGATAAAGGATAGTCTGAAATAGAAGTTGTCCCAGGGGCATCCAAATGACAGCAATCAATTCACACCTATCTAATGTAAATGGATCAAGCACACCAGTCAAGAGACAAAGAGAGGAGTATGGATAAGAAAACAAGAGCCTTTAGTATGTTGTCAACAAGAGACTCATCAAAAAGATGGAGACAATCTAAATGAAGTTAACTACAAAACAAAAAGAGGGAACAGTATAGATACAAAACTTCTAAATGGTGAGGAAGTCAAGTTGATTTCAAGATAAAACACACTGTTTTAAATGTGGGAAAAACATAATAAATAACAGGACTACCACAAAGATAATTAATATACCTTCACATCAAAATAAGAAAATAAGATTTGACCATTCACACAACAGAAATGAAAAGAAAAAACACAAGCAAAATGAACTCAGCACAGAAAATCATGTGGAACAAAGAAACCAACAGCACCACAAAAAACAAACAGCAAAATGACAGCAATCAATTCACATTTATGGATAATTACTCTGAATGTAAATGGATTAAATGCACTAGTCAAGAGAAAGAGTGAGGAGTATGGATAAGAAAACAGGATCCTTCAATATGTTGATGGCAAAAGACATCAAAAAGACTGAGACAACTCATCAAATGAAGAATGGTTAAACAAACTTTGGTAGATACACTCAATGGAATACTACACAATTATGTTGAAGAACAATGATGAACCTGCAAAACACCTCACAACATGCATGAACTTGAAGGACATTATGCTGAATGAAATTAATCAGTCACAAAAGGATAAATAATATATGAAACCAATTGATGGGAGCAGCTGAGCTGAAGTTCCCTGACTTGGGGGTAGTTTAACTGAAGGATTGCAACTGAACAGTTGTGGTCCAGAAATTCAGACTGCTTCCAAGTCAACCACACACACACACACACACACACACACACACACACACCACTCTCCAAGGAACTTGCAGGGCTGCCTCACGGGACAGGGAACTTGCAGAGTCCTTCGGCTCAGCCTGCACAACATTCTAGCCGCCCTATCTCTGTTTCCCCATCAACTACATTCTTCTGATAAAGCCCCACTTACTGTATGCATCATAACACCAGATGTTATTATTTTCCCTGCCCCCAAGCACCTCCCCTTGAGCTGTGTATAAAATAAACTTACTGTCTTGGTCGGGGTCACAGTATCTCCATCAGAGTGCTGTGGCCCATCTGGTCTCAACTTTGCTTTATTTCATTTGTGTCTTGAGTCTTTCTTTTATGTCTCATCTCCCGTTACCCCTACTTGGGTTTCATCTCTCCTTGAGGGTTGCAGAGATAAGCCAATTGTCAGACGTGGCAGTTGCCCCAATTGTGTTGGCTCTAGCAACCAATGTTGTAAAAAGTTTTTTTTGTTTTTTTTTAAGGGGAGTACTTGATAAAAGAAAAAATTCTATGATGGTTACAGGTATAGCAGGGAGGGAAAATTATTCATGAGCTAGAGTGTAGATACAAGTTAATATGGGTGACAGAGCAGGTCACATACAAGAGGGAAGTTAACAGAGGAAAGATGAAGGTAGTAGGAGATGGGGCGGGGCATGCAAAAGTTAAAGTGAATACAAGTAATTACTGTTAGCTGTTGGTACATGGAGAGGATTGCAATCATTATAACAAAGCAAAGTAGATAATTAGTTGAATGTAAAATTGATGATCTGCTCTGTAAACCTTCACTTAATTCACAACAAAAAGTTTAAATATATATTTAAATATATGTTTAAATATATATATTTAAACTTTTCATTGTGAATATATATATAAATATATATATATGTGTGTGTGTGTGTGTGTATATATATATATATATATATATATATATATATATAGTCACAAAAGAACAAATATGAAGGGCATCAAAAGGTTCATGGAAAAATGAAATTAAAAGATAATGGAATTTTTCAATGACTTTTTGGAGGTTCCTCATATTTCATCACAATATACACACTCCTCACTTACCAACATGGTTAAGTTCCCAAGACCTAGTTGTTAAACAAATTTTGGAGAACTTCCAGAAAGATAGCAGATTTTGCAGACACACTACAGGGAACCTCTACAATGAGAGATGAAATGAAGCAGACACAGATGAAAATCCTGAAACCTTGCACTTCAGAGGAAAGGTTAGAGGAGTGGGTTGAGTGCTTGTTGATAGGCAAAGCTGCGTAGGAATGACAAAAGAGGGAAATTGGTGAACAATCAGCCATACTTTGGGGAGTAGTTTTGGGAATAGAAGGTGGCCTGGCAGACAAGATTCACAGAAACAATGGGGAAATTGTGATTCCTTTGTTTTCTCCATGGTCCGCTGGTAACCAGAGGTGTGACCAGTTCCCAACATCATCCACTTCCATCCCAGACCCTGCTATCTGGGATTTCAGAGCCAAGTGGTTGGGAGCCATGCCAGTGTGAGGTGGGGCTGGTTGTGCAGCTTTGGTGCTCTGTTTTTTGTGCCTGGATTCAGATGAGGTCAGCTCCAGACATACAGAGGCCATGGAGCCACCAGAAAAGGATTTAATCAGTCACCTTGTCCCTGGGTTCCTTGTGGTCCTAATAGACACTGTATCAAGCACCTTCATGAACTACTTCTGGACTGAGTGACCAGAACATAGATAACACCAAGGCCAATAGGAATACCTCATAGGGCCAGGAACTCTTCTTTCACATCATTACCACACCCCCCAATCAAGATCCTTGGCTTGCAGGAGCACCCAGAGCTTTCACCATTCCAGGTCTAACAGCAACATTGTTTTTTTGCTGTTGTTTTTGGTTTGAGTTTTTCCTTTTATTGTTTCATTGATTTTTTATTATTATTTCTCTTCTCATTTTCTTTTATTCTG